ACTCATTAGGCAGACCTTCAGCTGTGAAATTACCTTACAAATAAGGCATGATATGGAAGAAAGTTAGCTTTCTGTAGTATTGTGCTACTTTCTGCAGAAGTAGTCTTACTTGTTTCTGTCTTAACAAATCCAGCAAAGAGGATGAAACCACTGCTAGTTGTAGGAACAGGAAGACTATAGTATATCCACATAATAACTAGTGACTGGTCTTAAACTGACCAGAGTAGCAAACAATTACTTGGTTCCCTTTCATTTTCTGTAATCTGGTACAGATCTGATGTCTGGTTAGTTGTGTTTAATTTGCCAAGCTAAAATTGCAGTGAAACTTTCTTTTTAGGACGTTGCTTCAGAGTGTGCAGTCCAGTGCATGCCAACATTCCAATTCTACAAGCAGGGCAACAAGGTAGGTTTTCAACATTCTTAGTGAAACAGTATAGGTGTGGGGAGGGGGGATACTGGATGCTAAAACACTAAATATGAATTAAAATAACTACATGTATAGGGCCCAGAAAAAACATTTTAATGAGGTTTAACTTAGCTGCTGGAAGTTATTTTAGGGAAAAATAGACCACTGGGGCAAGTGACCACACACATAATAGCCGTTTCCTGAATAAGTCTCTGGAGAAATGGCACCTTGTGAAGATCTCACAATAGCTTGCATCTCAATTTACCTCCTGAGCAATATAGTTCACTTACATGTACTCACTTAGAGAGAGCACAAATGGCTTTAGAGTAGCCTCAGAAACAAGGAAGTTCATATTGGCACCCTAAAAAAAGGATAATGCCTAGCCTTCTGCAATGGGTCACTAATGTTACATGCAGTTAAATCACTTAGAAGTAGTTTGTTTCTAACAAGTTCTGGCAACACTCTAGGTTTGTATTCCAGGTAAATCCTAATGTGAAGTTTTGACCCAGACTTTGAGCCTCTCTCTCCAGAACCTAATGTCTGAAACCTGCTTTATGCACCTATCCCAGCTGCAGGCCAGCTGGACTTAATTTTAATTAATATTCCTATCTTTTTGTGACCCAATCATAACTAAACAACAATTCATAACTTTTTTCAAAAAACAAGCAAACTAATCTATTAGATGTTTTTAGTCTTCAGCTATATAGAAAGGCAAAGGAAACAAATTCAGTACTTCTGCACAATACCAAAATTGTAATTACTGTAAATGATGGCAGAGCTGATAAAGTCTAAACTCCAGGCGCTATAATAAAGAACTTGGGCCAAGACTACTTATGCTTTCTCTCAACCTAGAGGTGAGCTTCTGGTTGGAATATCTGGTTTAGTAACCTCATTTGGCTGTCTGTTCTCCAAAAGCACTTAGTTATGAAATAATTGGATGGATGGCTGTGCTCTAATATAAAACAAGTCCTTCATACTGACTGTCATCTTCATTGTGGGCTAGTGTATAACCAGACTTGCAGGCACACTGCTCAAATAATTTTGTTCATGTTAGGAAGGGCCTTCCGGGGGTGGGAGCTGTGGCTTTCAAAAACTAAATTTGCCCATCAGAAAATATGCCTCAAATGTTGGGTGGATTGAGTCGGTGGTTACTATGTCCAGTGTAGACAAGACTCTATCTTCTAGAATCTCTAGTAACTTTCTCTTTAAAACTAAATATATCCTTTTGTTGCCGAGTCTGTTCCTTGTCCACAAATCTAACTCTGAAAACATGTTCTCCAGCAAAGTATTACCTAAAGTTAATTCATCTGGATGTGAAGTGGTGTCATAACACCTTAATGCAGTAGGTGAAAAGACATTGTCTTGCATCCAGAGTTTAACTGAATAGTTTGACCTCTTGTAGATAACATGCAAGATTTTTGGTAAGAAAAGTTTAATTCTTTACAACTTTTGAGAGCCAAGATTGACATGGCATATGTGTAGCTGTTTCTTATGAAATCTGTAAAACTGTGTGTGTGTGTGACTGACTGGAGTCAGTAGGAGGTGCTTGGAGAACAATAAAGCAGAGTCTGGCCCAAAGTGTGTAAAATACTTTGGGGTGCAGAGCTGCAGAATACAAAATCTGGAAATCAAAACAATACTTCAAACCGCCAACATTGGCCACTTCTTTATCCTCTGATTTATGGGACTAAAATTGCCAGTATCTTTCCAGGAATTATAAAACTCTTTGGGCTAAAAATCACTATTTTAAATGGCTATTCTTAAATTATTGTTACAGGTGCATGAATTCTCTGGAGCAAACCGAGAGAAGCTGGAAGAGAATATTACCAAGCTACGCTGATCGAACAGTGTGAACAGTTAATGTTGACTGTTTATATATAGCCTGTAACTTTTTCTACTTATGGAGTCTAATCAAGTTAGCTAAATATGTATCCAAAAATTTTGTCCCTTCAGACTGTAAATGAGTACAATAAAATGTAAATTCTTCACTTACAGAGACTGCTGTCCAGTGTGTGAAACTAGGCAGCTTGCATAAGATATAGCTGTATTACTTCTGGGGGTGGATGGCTAGGTGGTAATGTGGTGGTCTACTGGACCAAATGCTAGATATGAAGTTAATCCCCTCAATCCCTCTGAAGTACTCTCCTAAAACTAGATGGCCATTCTCAGTAGTATTGACCTGTTTTGTACAGTATGAGATCGCCAATTTCCAGCAGTCTGTCCTGTTTAAACAAAGTTCTCAGTGCAAAAAGTTCACCATAACCCATCTTAATCCAAAAAGCATGTTTTGCAGTAATAGACACATTACATGGTACTAATAATCTGTTTTACTCTGCTCAGGTTTGGAGGTTCCAACACACTACGTTGTCATGCTAATGTCTGACTAAGGTACCAAAACTATAGTTTTAATGGATTTAGAGGGTCACAATGTTAGAAAAACATTCCCAGAATTCCATATTCAAGATGTTTCGCTTGCCTGGCTCAGAAGTAATATCGTGAGAAATTTGATGCAAAAACTTGAAATAATGAGGGTGGGGAAGAGTGGTCCAAGCAACCTTAGCAAGGTTGGTATGTGTTATGTGCTGTCAATTGGTTTCATTGTCTGGATGACTTCAGGTTAAAGCTTTTTTCAATTTCTAAGTCTAAAAAAAGTACTTTGGTGCTGTTTGTCACAAGATCATGGGTCTGGTCTATTCCCCACCCTGTAACCAGTCCCCTGGGAGTGCCCAAGGACCCACACCATTCCCCAGGGGCAGGCACCTGTTCTCTATGACTGAAATGAGATCTTGGGGCACTAGCAATACCTGTCTTTCTTTAGTTCCCTGTGGCAAATCTAGACAAGCCAGACTTGTACAGTACAAGGCCCCTGCACCCCTTCAGGGCACAATGCGCACTGAGTATTTGCATCTGCCTTCCAGAGTTTTTTGCTGTTAGGTGTCAATTGTTCAGTCATTGGGGTTTGCCTTGTTTCTTTGATTCTCAGTTGATATGGGTTGGTTTCACCAAGTTCTTTAATGACCCATTGGTGACACCTCATGTCTCTTCTTCAACTCCAAGAGCAGTGTTAACCTTTCGCACCTCTTGGGTAGCAATGAAAAGCACCAAGGGAAAGTGAGGCAGACACAAGCTTCATAAATTACAAAAGATTCCCACTCTGTCACACTGAACTCAGCTGACTCAAGCTGAATAGAGCTGGGGACTTCTTGTGTGACATCTTGTGCATTAATTCATCACACAGCAACCTTACAATACTACTGATGAGTTAGTGGCTAGGAGGTTTTATTGCATGGATCATCAAACTTAATAGTTTAGTGCTACACTCCCTTGCACAAATCAGACTATAGGTAGAATTTACAGGTCAAGTTTATAAAAAATAAAAATAAACTTGCAAAACCTGTCACGGCTGACCTATTATAGTAAGATTTCTTTTTTTAAAGATGTGTCCTGGTCTCCCATTGTTCAGCAAGAAGGCTGAGCTGTATTTGTGTGAGTGGGCCAGGGCTCACTTTCAGCCAGAACTACTTGCCATCTTTTCAAGAGCAGTGGAGCTGCAGGCAGTAATTCCCATCAACTATTAATAAAGTTGTGCTTGAGTCGATCTTGCTTTTCCTAGCTAACTTAGACTCTCAAGCCTGTGTTCCTTGGCAATAGGTTAGTCAACTGCCCGAACCTTCAGGCTGTTTGTTTGAAGTTAAGATAGTTGTACTGACACAATTGGAAGGCTAAAGATGTAGTATTTATACCACAGGATAGTTCAGACTCTAGCAGGGATGTTTGCTCTTGCCTTAGCATCAGGCATAGGACACTTCAGGTTTTTTTGTTTTTATAAGATGTTGACTTTGGACTCCCTTTGGCTTCCTGGAGCCCAGGCAGAATCTAATCTGTCTTGGCAACAGAGTGTTGCCTAATTTTAAGATGCATTAGCTGCTGTTGCACTTAATACATTCAGCATTCATTTATCGGCATGATAGCCAGTAGAGCTAATATAATATAAGCCCCGACTTGGATGATATGAGCATGCTGTGTGAACCTTTTAGTTGCCAGGTGAAAGGCATCAGTCTGTCTACACCTTATTCATCATTTGTAGGGGTTCCGACCTCCCTGTTGTCTCCATAGAGTTCGCTGCTTCTATGTGCATCTGCAGATAGAGCTCTGATGTTATTCAAGATACTTACTACTACAAGCTCTCCATTTTAGGCTATTTTCAATATCTTTTGAGTTGAGCACTATTTTGTCTATCTGGGCCTCCTTTACTCTTCCACAACACGAGATAGTCTTAGGCACTCAGCTCACAGGAGGTAAAGGCATATGACCACTAAATTCCTGCAGAATTTCCTAGATGTGGATACATACTTGTCCTAGTGAGTGTGAAGAGCTGTCTGAGTTAAAATAAGGAGTTATCCTCAAATTGGCATGGTGGGTGTAGTCTGAGGGAAGGAGATGGTATGTAAAACACAGATGGAGGGGGAAAGATTAAAATTAAATTACAAAGTTGGCAGATGTCAGTCTTTCCCAAATGAATGTGGAATGCATAGCTGATCAGTCAGGTTATTTGATGCACAAAAACAGAACAAGTCATAAATATTGCCACTCCATGTAGTCAGTTTCATGTCAAGATAAGAACCATTTTCTTTATCAATAAGATTTTAATGGGTTATTTTTCTTTGCATAAACATACAGCATCTTAGAACAGCTCTAAACTATTTAATCAGATTACTGCTGGGTTATGTTGCTGTGACTGTGACAAACATGGTGTTAGCTACAGAATAAAATCTACATTTTAAGGGGATCTAGTACAAATCTATTTTAATGACTATTTAGCAGATGCTATTTAAAAGATTGCAGTTGACTTCTGCTCTCTGCATGGACCTTAGATATCAAGCTCTTGAGCAGCTCAGTTAAGGTTCCTTGTTTTTAAAAATAAGGTCAGATCCTCAGTTAGTATAAAGCCATATAGCTCCACTGACCGTTTACCTGGCTGGCTTTTTTTCAAAATGCCCATGAAATTAGAGTATTCTCGTAAGTCTCACAATCACATGTATCAATGAGGACTGATTATAGCAGTGATAAAGTGGATTAATCACTTAGCTGTAGGAGCAACAATTTGTTGTAGCATTGCATTATTTGACGAAGCATCACTTTCCCCAAACCGGTTGGAGACTTGTCTATTTTGAGTATACTTTAGCCCATTAAAAGTTGTGGCTGAGCATTTGGCAACAAGACAGATAAGCTATTGGTATGGCTTTCCTAAAGGAATGAACCACATGCCCTTTACACTTTTATTATTGCTTTTCCAAGGTTTTCTCCCTTTAACAGTCCCATGAAAGCTGCTGGCATTTTTTCAAATCCTTCAGTAACATGTTCTTCACACTTAATTTTCCCCTGTGCAAAGAAAAACAACAATTTTACTCAATTTTCTTCTACCGTGCAGGTGGTCTAAACTGTAGCTAGATTCCTTCAACTCGTATCATTCCTAGCAGCTGATGTGAACTGTGGTAGTTCTGTTGAAGTCAATGGAGCTGAACCTGTTTACATCAGCTAAAGAGCTCGCCCTTTGAGAGTAAAAGGTAATGTCTGTAGTGTAAGATTATTTGTTTTAGTGACCTCTCACTATTCAATACTGCTCAGCAAAAGTGATTTAAACATGGTTGCTGCTTTTGGTGGCCCATCTACCACTGTTCCTCTGACTGATGCCAAATTCTCTATGGAACATCAGTTATGTTTGCAGAAGCTAACTGCACTAGGTCTAACAGAACTAAGTCTTCAGATGTGGAGCATTAGAACTCTCCAGAAACAAGATTTCTCTTCCTCCCCTAGTAAGTGCAGTAGTGCCAACCCAACTGATAAGCCCCACAACAACTGTTGGGTGCTTTGATGCTTAGTGTTGTCTTTAGGTTTCACATTTTCAAGCTTTTCTCTGCAACCAAACTGAGGTAATAAAAAAAATTCACAAGAATTGGCCATGCTTTAAGTGGAGGGGTAAGGAATAGAGCAAGTACTTTAAATATTTGGCAGGGGGCAAAAAAGGCAGTTAAAAGGTAGTTGGACTAGTTTTGAAATGGGTCTTAAGAGATTTGCATTTAAATTTAGGGATATCCCAGGCCCCCTTCTCACTCACTTGTCAGCTGACTGACCTTACAGTGGAGATGAGCTGAGTTTGGTACCTGGCCCCTTCAGTTTTGGCCAAGCATAGTTTTGTCTGCTGCATGCCCTATTCCTCTCTTCTGTATTGTGTTCAGCATGGTTTGATGCTGACACACACCACCCCTACACCACCTGCTAGAGGGACATGTTGGGTGTGGAAGAGCAGTGTATGAGAGCAGACTTGGCTCGTGTTAGCGTAGACAGTCTTTTGTAAAGAGGGAAGTAGCAGCATAAGTTCACGTACTGTAGTCTGAGAAACTGCCACACCTCTTACCTCTACAACCCATCTTAACAATATCTTCAGGGCCTCCTCACGCCTGTCATTCCACCGTGAGACGATAAATCCTTCCATGTAAAGCTCCTTGAAGATCATTGGGATCTGAACATAAGGTCCTGTTGGAAATGGTAATAGACAAAACCGTGGTAATATTACTTTGTTTAAAACCAAACCAATGTGCAGTAAGGAGAAGCTGAGATGCTGATAAAGCCAAGCTAGTCAGCCCAAGGCTGCACTGCTTGACCAGATTGGGCCCTGCACAAAATGGTGACAGTGGTGGTGCAGACCACCTCCCCCCCTGTATACCCATAGCCCAGTGGTTAGAGCACTGACCCAGGAACCTGGAATGTTAGAAATGCCTAACCTGATTTTCACCTACAGTCAATACTGACTTCAATTGACTACCAATGCAAATCCTACCATAAAAGTAAAACCATCAAACCCTAGGGAAAGAACTTTTCCATCTAGATGACTGAACTGTGTAATCCGCTTTGCTACAGAAATACCGTGCATCAGGCTGTTTTTACCATTGCTGTTTATGTTTACTTAAAAACATTTGTTAGGTAAATAACACCCTAAAGATAAAAAGTTGGAATCCTTGAAACAAACCAGCTCATTTTCTACTGCCCCCTAGTGGTGTGCAAGAGTGACACTCTGCAGTAAAGTCTCATTTAAATCACATATACCAACTGTCACCAGGTCTGTTATATGGTGCGTTCTGTGGTTGTACTCTGCAAGGGATTCCTTTCTTGCTGCTATTGGCATTTTAGATGAGAGGTTCAGTCACTGCTTGTGCTGAAAATTAGTAATTTACACTTCTCGGACAATTTATTTCTATGGTTGTTGCCCATCACTACTCTTTCCCATTCCTGTTAAACCAACATTCATCCCCCATCCCCTCCCTTCCTCTTGGTAGATGGACAACAGGGCAATGCGATTTAACTATCTGGAACTGTTTAAGGTTAAATATCAAAGATCAGTTATAAATTGTTTTAGTGAGGGGTTCTCCCATTTGAGGGGCATCCTTGTTTACTCAGATGAAGCTTTGACTACAATGAGCCTTGCTGTTTGTCTGTGAAGTTTTACCATTCCGTGGTGGGAAAGGGCCATGAACTAAATGTTTATTTGCTTTTTAATTCTGGGAAAATACAGCTTTGTTTTTGAGGTACAGAATACAAGATGATTGTGATTCACTTTGTCCTAAAAATGCAGCATTGGGGATGCGTTTGCTCCACAAAATATATATTTTAATTTTGAGGGTTTGTTTCATAACATAAAAACAAGCAACATAAAAACCATTAAAAGAATTCAGAGAGGAAAGTTCTCTTTCTTCATTATTTTTTCCACCATAAAAAGTAACTAACTGACAAAAAGACTCATACCTTTCTGGGGCACTGTGTCATTGTATCCAGAGATGGCTCCGCACACAGCAATCCTCCCAAATTTCTTCATTTGATTCAGAACAATACTTGAAAACTCTCCACCCACCTAAGGTAGTCAGAACATAGATAAAGTTACAGATAAAACCCCTATTGATCATTGAGGGGCTGAACTTGTAAACACTTAAGCATGTAAATAACTTTTCTCATGTGAGTTATCCCATTGAGCAGTGCAGATATACTGAGGGGCTAGTCACTAGAGTCAAGTTACGCATAAGCTTAAGTGCTTGTAGGAGTGGCCCCTTATTTGGAAGTGTTTGACTCAGAAGCACGGCTCTGGGCCCATCTCTGCTATATGTTATGTGTCAGTCCCATAATATCAAGACTGAGGGTCAGGGTCGTCTTGGCAGGCCGTTTCCTATTTAGATAGCACCAGCTGTACCCAGCATTTTAAAAACACATAAGAGGACATAGTGCCTGCCCTGAAATGTTCATCTAAATTAGACAAAGGACAGGGAAGAGATTGAGTTTGAGAGCAGCAAGATGAACACCTTGGATCTAATTTAATATCAACCTGGAAAGGTAAGTGATGTTAAACAGATAGAGGCATGGTATGAGGAAGGAGGTGGATGGTTAGCAGGTGAAGTCTAACCAGAAGTAGAGTTTTTTTAGGAAGGTGTATGTGTGTGTGTGTGTGGGGGGAGGGGGGGGGAGCAGCTGATCTAGGGAGAATGTGAAAAGGGGAGTGGACAAGATGAAGGCTTTGATGGAGGTATAAGGAGCTGGAAGAGTGCAGGCACAAAGGGGGCTTGGAAGACCATAAGTGCTAAGAGAGAGACTGGGCAGGATCTTGAAAATAGCACCAGAATACCAAGCAAGAATTTCTGCTGACAGTATTTATATTTACAGTATATCCCATTAGGACTCCAGCACTGGAATGATCAGATCTTCCAAAGGGCCTGCCTGATGCAGGAGTGCTAATTATTTAAATGGGTAGACAAACAGTAGTAAGCTATTGTTCCACAGCTTTCTCATAGGAGTCTGTGCGAGAAGTATTTTGTAACATCCTCTCCTCAGCTTGACAAAGCTTCACTGGCAACATGCTTTTTCCATTTGCTTGGCAAAAATATTGAATATTTTTCCCTGTGTTTCTAAGTGAAGATTTTTTTGTTGTTTTATTTGTGCACCAGCTGTCCTGATGTCAGCCCGCTTCTGGGAAAAGGTTGTAAATCCTGCTCCAGAGCCAAGCTATTCCCAAAGGGCATGCCTCAGCATTTTAGGAGAGTATTAACACTAAACAACTTCTGGGTTTCTTTCATCCTTATCATCCTCCCCACATATATGCTCTCAGCTATTGACTTTCATTAAAACACTGTGTCTATAGGGAGGCTACTCTTCCAAATGCTCACCCCCAACATCTGAAGGGCACTGGAGACAGGGATTTAAAGGTGTGATGTGAGATCATGTCAGATGGGAGCCTAGGCTTTAACTTAACCAGTTTGGATCTACTAAAGAACAACTTGCCTTGACTAGAGCTTTTGAAGGTATTATTACATTGTGTGAAATCAGTCTAGCTCATGCAGTCTAACACCACATCTTTAAATCCTAGATGAGGCTGAACAGCTAGAACTGAAACATGGTTGATGTAGTCATGGTACTGATGGCTATTTTCCTGACCTGCCACCCAAGACAGTGTGTCAAGGGCTCTATCACTCCTAGGTAGACAGGTCCTTTGCTGCTGAAAGTCAGTGGAGCACCATTGAATGGAATGCACCTACACCAATTTACATCAGCTGATCATCTAGCCCAGGGTGACTTTTGTAAGTGGCTTCCATGATGAAGCCACACCTTATTATGAATAAGGGTGTGTGCTTGTCAAGAAAACCTCCGAAGATCAGAGGTTTTTTTTTAAATCTGTAATTACTGACATTTTGGGACTTTTCCATGTTGCTGGGCAGGAGAGTGGGGGGGGGGGGGAGAGGCATTGTGATGGTAACTGTTGAACCATTTCCCCTGAAGACATTGAGGGCTGCCAAATTGGGGCAGAAGGGAAGATTAAATGAGCAAGAACTCTCATCATCAAGGCCAATGGTTTGCCAGGGATTCCTTGACTGCTTTGATCTTTCTGGGGAAAAAGTCGGACCCGCCTGCTGGCTTAAGAATAGCGGTGTTGTGCTGCTGTTCCCACTGCCTTTGCAGAGGCTGAGGGGAGAAGTGGTGGTGAAGAGAGAGAGTCATGCTGGCCTTCCTGAGCCAGCTGGCAGTGCGGGAGTTGTTTTAAACTATTAGTTACATGTTTTTAGTTTTACAGTTTCTACAGTAAAACAAGGGGTATTTTGATTATAATGAGCTTGCCCTATTAGTATTATTTTATATTCCAGTGCTGCAAATTAGATCATTGTGCCAGGTACCGTGCAGACATAGAGCGACAGTCCCTGCCCTCAAAAGCTTACAATCTAAAACAGAAAAGAGAGACAAAGAGCAGAATTAAAAAAGTGCTATTATCCCCATTGTATAGATGGAGAACTGAGGCACGAAGAGATCAAGTAATTTGCCCATTGTCACACCTAGATCTGAACCTAGCTCTACCAAGTCACATTCGAGTGTCTTAAATACATGACTATCCTTCCACTCTCAGAACCCTCAGACCTGACACTGACAAGCCACCTTAGATTCATTTTACATATAACCAAAATACAACTTTCCTCTCCCTTTCCCCCAGGGAAAGCAAGAACAATTGGGCAAACCAGCTCCCTGTTTCATCGTTATTCCTCCTTTCCAATGCTCCTGAACTGGAACTTCAGAATTCCATGAAAACACAGGCCAGCAGTTTTCGCTAGCAAAAGAGGAATTTGAAAGGGAAAACTGAAAGAGAGCGTAAGCCCGGACATTCTCTCAGGGGGCTATTTCTCACAGGACTAGGCCACAACATTCCATGTGCACGTGCACAGCAGAAAGAAGTGAACATTTGCAACAAACTGCACTCTTGCCAACCCCAGTTTGAACTCACGTTATCAAAGTAGCAGTCGTAGCCATCGGGTGAGGCCTTCTTCAGTGCTTCTTCCAAGGATCCTACAGTCTTATAGTTAAAGGCTTCATCAAAGCCAATCTGTTTCAGATAAGCAACCTTTTTATCTGAGCCAGCGCAGCCAACCACTTTGCAACCCTGGAGGAAAAGAAAATGCGTCTTAACTCAGAGGTGGTTTCAGAATAAAATACAAGATGCAAATGAGATGCTACATGCCACCAGGCAGCAGAGCCTGCAACTCTCCCTTGCCTTTCCCTGCCCTGCCCAGCTTTGGAATGCTGCAGGTTCCCCAGCTCCCACAGCCTTGAGTCGGCCTGTGAAAGCTGATCTCCCCTGCACAGAAAGTAGCCAACAGGCGACATGAGACTTTGAACTCTACACTAAGGTATTTTATAGGTGTTCAGTTAGCCTCTGTCCTAGATTTTAGTGCTTTAGCTACGGGGACCCAAAAAAGGAAGCTACCAAATACAATTTCAAGAGTGTCATTTTCAAGGATCCATCACTGAAGGGGTTAAATTTATGACGTATGATACAAACCACTTAACAGTCACATTTCAGACCATTTCTCTTTGTGTTATTGACAGAGACAGAAAAATGTTTCTAAAAGTGTGTACACTCTCCTCCCTTCCCTCCTCCCCGCACATTTTAATCTCCTGTAAGGCAGGGGTTCTCAACCTTTTTCTTTCTGAGGCGCCCCCACAAACATGCTATAAAAACTCCATGGCCCACCTGTGCCACAACTGTTTTTTGCATACAAAAGCCAGGGCCAGTGTTATGGGTTAGCACGCAGGACAATTGCTCAGAGCTCCACACCATAGGGGACCTTGCAAAATTAAGTTGCTCAGGCTTTGGCTTCAGGGAGGGTCCCAGGCTTCAGCCCTGCATCGTGGGGCTTTGGCTTTCTGCCCTGGGCCCCAGTGAGTCTAATACTGGCCCTCTTGGCGGCCCCCTATAACCTATTGACAGCCACCCCGGGGGCCCCAGCCCCTGGTTGAGAACTACTGCTGTAAGGTACATATATTGTATGGTGCTGACAGGTGAAGACTTACTTGTGGAGTAGTGGCAATATGTATGAGGAAAGCACATGCTGTATCACTGACTAAGGAGAGTGCTGGTTGCAAGGTTTGCACCAGCTGAATGATAAATGCAGGCAGGAATTGGTCATGGCATATTTTATTTATTCCCTGGGGGCAATACTATGTTTCTCATCTGGCTGTTCACTACCACACTGCTAGATACGCATAGCTAACTGCATCTGTGATCCTGGTTCTTGCAGTAAGCCTGTGTGCTATAGCGGATTATGGGGACACTATTGACAGGGAGAACAGATCAGTGACATATACACATTGCAAACTGTTACCTATGCTCCTGGGGTCAATAGCTTGATGCTCTTTCCAGGCCTAGCCCTAGTCACATGGAGGCAATGGGGCTTCTCAACTGAGTGAGACTTCACAGGGTGGGGCTAGCAGTCCCCAGGAGCAATAGTAATTGGAAACAACTGCATCATTTTAATTTAATTCTCCTACTAAAAGTGCCTTGCCAGAGTTTTTATTTTTTTTTATTTTTATTATTATTATAGTTAAACAACTGATCTTGGAGCAAGTCCCATCTAAGAGACGCTTTGTCCCCCTTCCTCCTAAGCACTCAAATCCCTCCACTCCTCTCCTTAGCTTGACAGTCTATGGTGTTCACATGATCAATTCAAGCCACTCACTCCGATTTTAGCAATCTGCCCCACCACTGAACCCACAGCTCCAGCTGCTGCAGTAACCAGCACGGTGTCTCCTGCTCTAATCTTGCAGATCTCAAATAGGCCGAAGTATGCAGTGAGGCTGAAAGAGAAAGGAAATGTTCAGTGGAGACATTACAAACACAAAGTCGGGTCATGCTTCATGTAGCTGTCCAGGGGAGGGGATATCTCATCCCATTAGAGATTCTATATGAAGTGCTCGGAATTATTTATAAGGTGTACAAAATCCATTCAAGCTATTTGAATGTGGAAAGCTACACATCTTGCCCATTTTTTAAATAAATGTTAGGAAACTTCTGTTCTGCCCAGATCACAAATAGCAAGTTGCAAGCTTTCCATGTGGCTTGTCCTACAAATATAGAGGTAAGAAAAGAAGCAAGTTAGGAGGAACTAGGCAAGAGAAAGCATGAGTGGAATGGAATTTCTTCTGTATTTAGGGCAGGGTTACCATGAACAGTAGCTCTGTTCAACAGGTATAGATGTGCTTTTGATGCTGCTATATGATTGTAGAATTCTACAGCTGCATGTTTCCATCTTTGTGCAAACTCTGGAAATACAGAGAAATCAGCAGAGCAAGATCAGTATTTTATGAGCCCTAGCTAGTTACCACTGAAATCAAAAGGAGTCCTTCCATCAACTCTAGTGTCTGTTGGACTGGGCCTTTGGTCTGCTTTTTAATTCCAGCACAATACTCTGTCCCCATCCCATATGGCCAAGAAGCAACTGTGCGGTCTCCAAGTAGGGGGAAAAGAGGCTCCAAATGGAGACATAGAGCTATAAGCCTCGCACACACAGGATGGGTCAAAATTCAGTCCCTCTTCAGTGGCAAGAGCCTCTCAGAGCATGCACTGATTAGGCTCAAGGGTGGCGTGGTAGAGCCTGCACACAGATGGCTGGAAATCTCAATGCAGCGAAGTTTGGTTAGTCTTTATATAGCCTGTGCTATGACTTACCCTGGCATGCCAATTGTCCCAAGAGCCAAAGATCTGGGGATATTTTCTGGCCAAGAAGGAAGCAGCCGTAGATCTTTCCCATCAGAGATGAAGTGAGTTGTCCAGCCTGAATTAGCCACAACATAGGTCCCTACTGGGTAGGTGGGATTCTTGCTTTCCACAACTCTGAGAAGACAAACGAAAGCCACACTTTACAAACAGCTCCTTCTCCCTAGCTTTGCTAAATATTTACATAGGGCTCGGGGCTGTGTGTGAGGGTTAGGAGGAAATGCTCCCTTTAGGCAGGTGAACACAAAAAACTAGCTACACTGCACATTTCCTGCACCTTTTTCTGAAACAGCTGGTACATGGCGATAGGAATAACCATACTGGATCAGACTTATGCTCCTAATATGTTAGGGAGGATCCCAAGCCAAAACCCTGACAAACACCAGTTCGGTTTGAATCCGGAGTTGATCCCTGCAGCTTGACCAGAAGGAGAGAGGAAGTTTGGGGAAATGGTATCTCACAGGGGCAGAGTAGAAGAGGCAGTTCCCTATTCAGTAAACCAGGTCCCTTTTCAAAGGCTGAAGACATTTCACCTCCTAAAGGCTGCTCCTCTTGTAGGACAGGAAGGGCTCTTTAAGAACAGCTTGAAAACTGTATCGGTTTGGGACTCTAATAATGACGATAGTCGAACAAAAATAACAAAGTTCAGCAGAAGGTGCACACGATCCTTTGGCACCAGACGCAGCGAATTCCTCAGCTCATTTCAAGTGACGTGTTACAACTATTGATGGTACCCGACCTCTCGCTCAGAGGATTAGGGCTTAAATTTCCTCCCAACCTCTGGTTTCCCACACAGGACCACAAAGAAGTCTGATGATGATGGAGACTCTATAGCATTCCTTGGCAATGGTGAAGTCGCCATACACCTTATCAGCAAAAGGAGTAAGGTGCCTGAAGAGTATTCTCAGCTGGAATTGCTGACTGTACCGTTCCTGGGTGAGCAGTTATTACACAGCACATTACGTCCGGCATACAAGATGACACCTCAGGATATGACCACTTGTGCAATGTTAGCCTTTCCTGCCCTGTCTTGTAAGAACTCCCTTCAATGGCATTGCTCATGTGAGTAACACAAGTAAGGGTAGTCTCAAGGCCTCCGAACAAGCTCTAAGTAGTACTAGAAGGCAGGTTTCATAGGATGCACTTGCTTTCTGACGGGTTACAGACTGATAAAGAAATATGGGACCACACAGAGAAGTATTGACTAAAAGATGTAGCCAGTTGTGGTTCGTAATGAAAAATGTTTGAGACACCAAATAACCAAACTTAGACAAATTTACTGTCTAAAGACAAAACAGCACAATACAAAAAGGAGACATTTGTACTCTCCTTCCCAGAAGCAATTCTGATCTCACAGCATGTTCTCTTTACACAGAAGGTGTGCCTCAATGATACACCCCCAAAACCACTCATATTTATATCATGGCTGATTACAAGTTAAAAAGCACCTTATACATCATCTAAGATCTAACCCACCAGTTCCTTAACTTATTTTTCTGAACCTTTCCTTCTCTCTCTTTTGGATAGCACATTCCAAACAAGTTGGAAATAGAGGTACATCCCAACCTCTGCTAGGACAAACCATTTATGTATCTTGTCTTTGACAGCTTTTCTAATGCCAATTTGCTGACTTCAGAGTCACAGTGTTGTGAGATACTTGGTGAACAAACATGGGTGAACAGAATCGTGGGGAGACCATAAGGCATACAGTTAACATATGTATTATATAACTTTATGTATATCATGTATGGTATATTAGTATCATGCACATAATACCTATTAATGTGCTGCATTGGCTAATAGAAAGTAATATAAGCTGCATGCAACCATCTCTTATAAGTGACATTGTACCTTCTCTAGTGCTTTGAGTCTCCTGTATGGAAAGATGATAGTGAGTTAGGAAAAAAGACATCAAGCAACTAATGAAGACCTTACCTAGCAACTTGGCTGCCTATCATTATGTCTCCCTCTTTCATGTATATCCTACTATAAGGTCTGAAACACACAAAATGGAGATAGAGCCTTAATTAAGTGCAAAATATTCACTACAGATTATTGTCCATTTTCTGATTAAGACACAGTGCACGGAGGGTCTCACTGCTGACTATGCCAGATATCTGCAGAGAGACAGAGAGAGAGTTACATTCTCATGTTGACAAAAATAAAATATTGTTCCTAGCCAACCGCTCATGAGTGGAGATGCCCCTTGATCAACTACCGTGCTGGTATAACTTATTACAAAATGCTAATCCCCTGCCATTACGAGGTTACAGTTACAATTAGAGAACACAGCTAGTACCTTCACGATAAGGCACGGGTCAGGGACTCAGAAGAACTGGGTTTAATTCCTGGCTCTACCATAAACTTCCTTTGTGACTTTAATCTCTCTGTGCCTCAGTTCCCCATCTATAAAATGGAGATAATAACACTTCCATTCTCATGCCCCTTCTCTATGTATTTAGACTAAACTCTTCAGGGCAGGGAGTGTCTCTTGCTGAGTGTAGACACAGCACCTAGCGGAGTGGAGCCTTGAGCTCAGTTGAAGCCACTAGGTTCTGTTGGAATATAAATAATAATAATAATAATTAGGACTTGCCGCATAGATGAACAGAACTGCATTTCACCCGAATTCCCAAACGGTCCATTAAAATCCAGTAAAGCCCAGTGAAATTCTATGGCTGTAGTATAGTTATTGCACAGTTCAGTCCGGTCTACTCTGCATGACTGAGCTGCGCTTTAGCCTTATGCTGTGGAAGTGGGAAGGATACTGTGCTGTAATAACCAGGTCCACTAATGTGGTCGTTGCTACAGCGTAGACGTTGGTGAAGACATAGGTGGGGCTCTGGTGTTTCTATAGGGCAGGTAGCCCCTGAGAGGACCATGGAAAGCCAGATGCTCTGAATAAGCACTGCTTTTAGGATTCAAAGTAGCAATTCAAAGTAGTAAACTAATCTAAAAAGGAAGAAAGAAAAGCGTACCTCATGTAAGGATCAACACTGAGAAACACAGATTCAAACAGCACATCTGCAATAAAAAGGATTAGCGGTTACATTAGGACCTACAGTAAGTAAATATCAAATGTTACAAGACAGTGCACTGACCTATGGCAGAGTGCTCTGGATTCCCTTCAGAGCTGCTAAGCGAAAGTGACAGAGATCAAATCAAGTTTCTAGGCTTTGTCTAAGTTACTGCTACACTGTTAGCAGAGAAGGCAAACGGACATAGCTTTCTGTTTTGTTTTTGAGACCATGGTGGAAGGAAGGTTTCTGGGACACACAGCCTGTCTTCCTTTCCTGTGCCCCAGGGATGGGCAACTGGGGGCCCGGAGGCCGCATACAGCCAGATAGAGCATTTTATTTGGCCCACCATGGGTGTAGCCACAGGTGGGCCCGAGTGGACCATCGCCCACCCAATTAGACTCCAGGCCCATCCAAATCAGAGCCTGAGAGGAGGTGGCTCTGCCTGCACCCAGAGGGAGGGAAGCAGCAAGAGGCTCTGCCAGCCCCGAACAGAGGATGCTGAAAGAGGGAGAGAGGCGGCTCTTCCCACCACCCGGAGTAAGGGCAGGAGGAGGAGGCAGCACCTCGATCACAGCGGGATCCCTCCAGGATGGCCCTGGTGGACAGTGCCTGGGGTTACCAAGCAAGGGCTGTGCATCCCGGGTGGCAGGGACTGGGGCAGGGGTGGTGTCCGGGGACATGGGCTTGTCCACTTTCCTGGAGATCGCGGAGCTGAACATTGGCGGGCAGGTGTCTCTGCTGGTGGGCTCTTCTGCACACTGAAAAAAGGTCAGTCAGTGAAGGATGTATGTTTAACCTGGGGCTTTGGGGTGGGGGGTTATAGTTAAAGGTTGTTCTGTAAGGGGCTGTTATATTTAAGAACACTTCTTTTACATGGTTAATACACAGATAATTGTATGCTAACATGCTGTACTGTAGCAAACATTTCTAAGTTATGCCATACATCGTCTCTAACAACAACAACAAAAAGTATGGCCTGCCAAAGGGTTTCAGTGGATTCTGCGGCCCTCTACCACCTTAGCATTGCCCATCCCCGCTATATCTCGTTCCTTTGTAAGAAGCTCAAAAGTCCAGGCACCCACACAGAGAACTGTTACCTTTTAAGACCCATGCATAAAACCCTTTATTACCATTATTCAACCAACAGAGGGTGCTGACAGACCACATTCACCCACCCGTAGGCCCCAAGGCAGATTACTTTGGATATTAATACCCCATTTACTTTTTCTCCCTTAAATTTCAAAGGGGGGATGTTGTTTGGTAATTTTGGACCCCTTTGGTTTGGTTTGTTTAACATAAGTGGTTTACAAGAACAAATGGTATTAGAAAAGTTATCATTTAAAAGCAATAAATACCGGGGCGTGGGGTGAGAGATTGGGGTTGGAGGTGTCTGTGTTAACAAACTCTTGCTGTCACTGATTACAACCCAGCCATTAGAGAACTGTGCAAGTACATGAGAGCCAGAAAGTTAAACGGATTAGTCTCTTTGCATTCAAAGCCATTTAAGTAGCAGGGAGGGAAAGCTGCTTTTTAAAAATAACATTACAGGCGAGTCTCATCTTACGTGGGGGTTCCGTTCCGCGGTTAGCGTGTAAAGCGAACACCACGTATAGTCAAACTTACATTGAGTTGAATGGCGGGCGGAATCGCCCGCACTACAGGTACAGTATTAAAATTGTTATTTTTCTCTTTTTTGTTGTTGTTGTTGTTTTTTTGCCAGCCGCGTAAAGCTGAAATTGCACATGTTAAATGCGTGTAAGATGCGACAGACCTGTACTTTAACCTAAAGGAATCCCCATCTCCACTTTAAGGATTTAAAGGGAAGGGAAATAACAAATAAGTTTTCTTAAATACGTGCTGGAATGGAATTGTATTTTTTAAGAGTCCCTGCAAACTGGCTTCTTCCTTTTTAATGGATGTACATTTCAAACCTGCCATCTGCAACCATATCCAGATGTTTTAACATCATCTCTATGACTCTTAATCATGTAACAGATATATTAGGTAATGCTGCATCATACCTTAATGCTCAGATGTGTGGCTAGTGCCAAAGGCAAGGAAACCCTTGTTGCAACTATTTATATATTCAGATTGTAAAAAAACAATGCACAATCCCAGGCACATGCAGGTCTCTCTGGGCAGGCAGTGTATTAAAAATCCTCGGATTTTTGTAAATTCCCCTGGAATGACTGCTGGACATGGCCAGGTAGTATGGAATGGAGAGGGGTGAAATAGTAAGCGTGACACGCATGGATGTCCATTTCTCTCCGGACAGTGTTGGGAGCATTGCTTTAAAAACGCAGAAATTCAGGAATATGACCTAGTCAATCGGGGGGGAATTTTCTAATTTTGCCAACTCTGCTAAGTTATGCATTATGGGTACAGTAAGCAGACTGTTTCCATAGAGCCTTACAAATAGATTGGCTAGACAGCCATAGCTCTCTCTCTCTGGGCTCAAAGCCCTTTCTGCTATTGTAACCCCTTTAGGGTGTGTCTACACTGCAATCAGGCTAGGTCTACACTACCTGCCTGAATCGGCGGGTAGAAATCGATCTCTCGGGGATCGAATTATCGCGTCTCGTCGGGACGCGACAATCGATCCCCGAATCGACGTGCTTACTCCACCAGCGGAGGTAGGAGTAAGCGCCGTCGACAGGGAGCCGCGGAGGTCGATTTTTGCCGCCGTCCTCACAGCGGGGTAAGTTGGCTCCGATACGTCGAATTCAGCTACGCTATTCGCGTAGCTGAATTTGCGTATCTTAAATCGACCCCTCCCCTGTAATGAAGACCTGCCCTTAGACACCTGCAGCTGGCCAGGGCCATCTGACTCAGGCTCCCAGGGCTCGGGCTAAATGGCTGTTTAACTGCGGTGCCGACTTACGGGATCAGGCGGAAGCCTGGGCTTTAGGACCTTGTGAGGTTGGAGGACCCAGAGCTTGCCAGCCCAAACATCTACACCGCAATTATACAGCCCCTTAGAGCCTGGGTCAGCTGGCACAGGCCAGCCGCGGGCGTGTAATTACAGTGTAGACATACCCCTAGGGTTTAGAGAGCATGGCCCATGAGGCAGAGGAAGCACTGGTTGTTCCAGAGGAGGGCTGGAAAGAGGGAGAGTGACGGAGGTGAGGATGTCTCTGTAGCTCCAGCTCTCGTGAGAGGAACAAACCGGAGCTGGCCCAGTATCACGGCTGCCCAGAGCTGTATGGGGTCATGAGTACAGGGGCTTGTGACCTTGCATTGGGAAAAAGGAGAGAGGCTGTAGCTAGCTACGTGGGGAGGTTGTCACTCTGGATGGGTTTGCAGAGAACCGCAGAAGAGGGCACCGGAGGAGTTTGTTGGGGAAAGTTTACTGGTGTCGAAGATGACCGGGAGCACCCAAGACTCGCTGCCAGACTGGAACTTTGCCCAGGACTCCCAAACTCTTGATCTAGACGTATTGGTCAGTGTCTGTCCCTTCATACTGGGGTACCATTGAGCACATGGGTCCGTGTGTTGCATGTAACCCTGTTTTACTGCTCCCCCATCCTCTCCCCCTGTTGTTTTTCTCCATTCATCCCCCTGTAAACAAATATTTCCCTTTCCTAAATTGCTGTTCTATGCAGGGGGGAAGGATGCACTTTTTTCCTCCCTCCTCCCCCACACACACTGCAGGGGGTTTGGAGCAGGTGCCCCTGGGAGGGAGTTTCCCTGTTGTGTTCCTGTGCAAACCTTTTCTTGGCTGGAGCTGCACTATTTTTTTTTTTTTTTAATAAAAATCCAGTCATGAGTGTTCTGTTGAATTAGGCCTGCCTTCTGGCTGGGAGCACAGGGCAAGCTTCCAGGTTTGCTGTGTCAATCATAAGGCTTGAACCATCTGCCAGATCCTTACTGGCTGGAGAATTAAACCTTGCCCTGCAGATGTGCCCTGGCTAGTGGGGGGAGGGGAGGAGAGCCGCACTGCAGGTTGTTTTTTTTTTTTTTAGCTTTGCTGTTCTGGCCGCCGCGGTTTTTTTGTTGTTGTTGCTTGGGGCTGCCAGAAGCCAGAGCCAGCCCTGAGCATACGCACATCTGCCACTGTCCCAAGCAGCAGCACCAGCACGAAAATGACAATTCTCCATAATTTCTCTGCTGCCCACAGGGTTCTGACTAGAAGCAGTGAAAATGACCAGTCTTGTTCAGTTAATTCCCCTTCTGTATGATCAATCTCTGCCTGTCTGCAGACTGAGGAAGAGAACACTATAATCGATTCACGTTCGGAAGGTTATCTTTACAACGTGATGATATGATGGTGCTGGCGTAATTTAAAAAAATAAATAAAACTTTATATTCCATAGACTTCTGCACCTTAGGCCTCCAAACTCATCAGGTCAAATTTCCTACTTGTCACCGGCTTGTGGCCAAGTGGAATTTTCAAGTCCTGGTTAGCAGTATATAGCTCTCAGTACATCTTTGTAGCAGACGCGCACCTCCCCCCCCAGCCCACAAGACATTCTTACTCATTTGCAGTCAACTGGGTGGGTCTGTTACCAGACCCCTAATGGTAAAGATGGGGATTTTCAAAAGCACCCAGCATTGATCTAACTCCCACCAGAGTCAGTGACTGATTGATTTCAGTGGAAGCAGAGACGGGTGAATGCTGAGCACTTTAGAAAATTCCGCCCTAAATGTCTGCTCATCCACGTGAACACTGCTGAGCCAGGTATGCGGCATGTGACCCTCAGGGGATTCTTTGTTGAGTCACACGCACCGATTTCAGACACTAAAAGGCACAAGTGTGGGGTTTGTGGTAGGTAAATGGAGAAATCCCAGCCTGCTCGTACCTTTGTAACGCTCAGTTCACAGAAATGTATTAATTATTCTAGATTTGCACACTGCGCTATGAGTAGAAAGACGAAATACAATCCTAACACCATCTACATGAAGGAACATTCTCCTTACCTCCATCCTTTAGCTTTGGCAGCTCCACCTCTTTCAGCTCAAGGTCACTTGTTTTGGGGAAGCCCTCAAAATGCTTTTTCAGCGTCCAAGACTTGGCTCTCACCATCCTGTACCACCTGCATGAGAAGACAGCACAATCAAAATCAAAAGCTGGAATACAAATGGCTGCACAGCCATTCTGACCCCCCCTCCCGCCGCTGCAAGATTAGATATTGTCAGGCACCCATGTCAGGCCTGAGCATCTCCATCTCTGTGCTTAACCATTTCAGGCTAAGCACTGACCCCGAAAACATACTAAGAGTTTGTCAAGTCTTTTATACTTGCACTTACCAAAGTTTACTATTTTTTAAAGTACCTTTCCCTGCCTCAGTGAAGGACGCCCGAGAGCTGTGTTAGTTACTCCAGGGACCATTCTAGTCAGGGCCAGCTTTAGGCCGATTTCGCCGATTTCCCCGAATTGGGCCCCGCGCCTAAGAGGGCCCCGTGCAGAGCTGTGCCGCTCTCCCGCAAGTAGCAGCTGTTGCTGCTAGGCAGCGGCTGTTGCAGGTCGGGAGCGGGAAGGGGGGGAGAAGGCACATGTGCTTTGCAGCCTTTCCCTCCCCTCCCCCCGGCACTCACCTGGAGGAGACGCCGAGGGGGCTTCCGGTCCTGTCCAGTGGGAGACAGGAATCTTTGCAGTGTGGACCTCACTCACCGGAGCAGCTGCTGGGGCTTCGGTTGGTGAGTGTTTGACCCCGTGATTCCCCATAGGTTTGTAATATTGGGTTGGTTTTGTGCTTTTCGGTGGTGTTGCTGTTTGAGGAGGGTGAGTTTGTGCCTGCCTGTGTCTGTTTCAAAACTAAACTCGAGATCATGTAACCCAGTAAACCCAGGAAGAAAGCCCCGAGCCAGTAGTTAGTGCTGTGAATTCCAGGTGAGAGAGAGGGGGAGGGGTTGGACGAGGATATCAAATAAATCAAGAGGGGAGAATGCGAAAGGTCTGCAACAGGCAGGCTGAGACTTTTATCTCCCTCCCCCCCCATCCCGAGAGAGGGGAAACTGAGGCACGGAGTGATCTGATTCCCCTCCCCAAATTATTTTGCAAAGGAGGGGGACAGGGGCTCCTATCCAAACCAGTTCCCTTCCCATCAACTCTGCTTTCCCTGCTGCAAGACCGCTGTAGGGGCTGAATATTTCCATTAAACTCTGGCTCCTTCGTTTGCCCTGCAACAATAAAATAGACTGGCTTTGGGGGGGAGGAATAGCCCCCCCACAAAGCTGTGTGGACATTAAGTTTTTTTTGGGGGGGGGGGCACGATAATATTCCGGATCGATCAAACACCCACTCAGCTTTCTAGCCATCCAGCAGCTCTAGGGCAGGGAAGGAAGGTGCTCTTGGTGCAGAGTGGTCGCAAAACAGGGGTGAATTTAGCGGGGGGGGGGGTCCAGTTGAAATCCCGCCCGATGCAGCCACACAGAATCGCTGGCGGCACTGGGAGAGGCCAGGAGTGGAAGCAGGTGGCCCGGGGGTGGGGGGACATTTGCCCTCAGTCCTGGGCTCTGGGATGGACTAGGCTGGCTGGTGGGTTCAGTCTAGTCTTCCAGCCTGTTGCTCTCGCTGGGGTTTGTGGTTTTCATTTGGCTCCACCGAAAAGATCAAACAAGCCCAGTAGAAAAGGGGGGCGAGAGAGGCGGGAAGGGGTTTGTAAGGGGTTAAAGTGACCCATCGACGAAAGAGTAAAACCAGAGTTTGACTGGGTTTCCCCCCAGCCACCACTCCTGCAAACACTGGACAAGGGGCAGCCCCATCCCCCACTGAGGCGATGGTGAGGGGCAGCAGGGGAGGAAGGAAGCCACATGTGATGTCAGTCCCCTCCCCCCCCAGCACCCACCACCCTCTCTCCGGCCCCCAAACTCTGTCCCAGAGCCTGCACCCATCCCTCCGCACTCCCTCCCAGAGCCTGCACCCCTCCACCCATCCTGCACCCCACCCCTTGCCCCAGCCCGGAGCCTGCACCCAGCACCCAAACTCCGTCCCACTCAGCCCTGGGCAAAGCTCTCCTTGGTCTGGCTCCCAGCCCCTCTCCAAGGGTTGCAGCTGTCTGGAAGTGCCTGCCTTCCACACCTTCCTCATTCACACCTCATTCATTCAACAGGGCAATTGATTACAAAGTGGAGGGAAGATCTTATTCTACTTCTAGCAAAAAGACATTTTTCTTTTACCTTAATTATACTACCTTAGGGGCCCGCTATAACATATTACCAAGGTTCAATACAAAGTCATATAAAAGTTATACAAAAATGCATAATGCAGAGATTTATCTACAACTGCATTGATTGACTGCTGTGTGCAGTAATATAGTGACCCCTGGGTCTTTGAATGAGGCTTTATACTTGGGGGGGGGGGCGAGCGGCGAGTCGGGGGCGAGCGGGTGGGCAAGCGGCGGGTGGGCAAAGAGGTGAGCAGTGAGCCAGCAGGGGTTCTAGGGGCGGGCATGGGGGTTTCTGGCAGGAGAGTTAACCTGCATTTACAAAACACTCCGAATAAAAAAACACTCTGTGCTCTTAAAACATATCTTTCCTTGCTTTAAGTTTTGAAAATTCAGTCACTAGTTCTTTTAGATCCAGTTTTCCAGCTATTTCATGCTCTATTGACATTGTGACAAGTCCAAGAAGTCTCTTGTGCCATTGTTGAACGCAGATATGTTTTTATCAATTTTAACTTTGAGAAGCTACAATGCAGGCAGACCGATTAAACAATTTGGCAATCATGTCAATTGAATGCGAAGTAATGAAGAGCTTAGAGTTAGGCAATACACTGAAAGATTTTGTCAAACAAAAAGCAAGAAAGATAAAGTTTTAAAAACATATAGGTGAGGTGTACAATATAGTTCCTCTTAATGAACTTGATATTTATAATATATGATGCAATGTATGTAATATATAATTTTGTTATTATTTATATAGTCATGGAAAGTAAATAATACATGGAAGAAATTAAAGGTTTTTTTTAAAGTCATCCCTGCCGGGGCCCCGCCGAAACTGTTCGAATTGGGCCCCGCACTTCCTAAAGCCGGCCCTGATTCTAGTCCTAGAACAGCCCAGGAACAGGAGGGCATAAAGGCGGCTTAAAGTCATCTCAGCCCCCACTCCACTGGGCTGTGAATTCTGTGCCACAGTTCTTAAAGACACAGCACAGAATCTCATCCCTATAGTCTAAAAGAAATCTAAAAAAGTGGCAGCCTGACTGGCTATAAATCCTCAATTAAAGGCTTTTCCTTATACCAGTTAAATCTACAAATTCAGCCTGGTTAAATGGACTCAGCACTGAAAACCAATTGTTACCAGTTTTAGCCAAAGTTCAAATCACAGCTGCAAAGGCAAATAAAGCCTCTACATTTTAACCCTGATACCGTGGCTAACCCTTCCCCACACGTCTGCCAATAGGTGGTACAAAACAGATTGATACACCTGATAAACACAGATTTTAATAACCAAATGTTTCAAACCATGACATTAGAGTTTCTCAAGTTTAGAAGTACAGCACATTAAACTGAGAACACCCTTTAATCAGTGTTTTCCATAAGACAATCCTAGGGAACTTTCCCAGGTGAATCTGACAGGTGTTTATACACACATGCACAGCCTTTCATACCCTTCAAAAAATTGGATGGACCCTCCCCTCGACAAAAGAAAAGGAGAAAAGTGGATACTTATAATAAAGATTTGCCTCTCTTCAGCTCCTGCTGGTAAGGAACCAGGTGTCAACAGGCTCAGCGGATCAGAGCAGAAGCCCAGGCAGAGACTGGAATAGCCAACCTCAGGATATCGAGGTTTCTTCTCTGCAAGGTGATCCGTCTTACAGATTCTGGAACCTCAGTCTTTCCTCAAGTGGGTAGCCAACGGCAAAGATCTCTGCTTTTATCCACAATGGATATGAATTTCCTTCGCTCCGCCCTACAGTGCCTATCTTCAAACCATTAGCAAATCAGGTTCATAAGTGATTTGACTTAGTCCAATCGAGTGTCAGTTAGTTCATTTGTAGAAAAAGTTCCAATTCAGCAAACATTAACTCATAAAAGGGTC